TAATAATAATTATTATTATTATTATTATTATTATTGTTATTATTAATAATAATAATAACAATAATATTGTATTCGTCTCGTTTGTAAATATATTTATAAAAATGTTCTCATCTAATCGTTGAAACTACCTAATAACATTAATAAAACATAACATTATTAAAACATAATGTGTGTGTAATATCAAAGAGCATAGAAGCAATATAATTTCTTTGGTAATATATGTACGATGTGTTATAGGTACCATACATATATGATGTGTACGATATGTTATATTTTTATATTATATGATGTTTATTATAAAGGTTTATAATATTATGATTATATTATTATCATATAATATTATGATGATAATATTATAACATAATATATTATGTTTCTTATGTGTAGCATAAACTTAAAACAAATAAAATGAATATAATTGATACTATAATCAACATGAAATGTTTGTTACTCGAGTCCGCGTGCTATGGGTTGCTATGGAAACAGACGCACGCTCAGAGGGTGAGCTGACGGATTGAAATGGATGTGCTGGGAAACTTGGAAGTTCGGTGAGTTACGAATCATATCTTTAAGAAGACTTGGACAATCTTTAACCTTGTTTCCATAGCTGATCATTAATTTGGAGCCTGTAAAGTTATCCTGTCTTGAAAAACAAAAACAAGTTCTGCATCAGTATCATAGCTAGCTAACGTTACCTAGCATTGAGCAGAAAACACTCTGGTGTATACAGCGCACACTGGAAATACTGCGGGTGTTATAAAGTAAATGCATTTTAAACGCACTAATCTCAAAATCAAAAAAGAAGAGAAAATCAACTTTAAAAAACACAAACTATATAAAAACAAATAAGATATGAACGAATAATGTATTCAATGCAAAGATAAGAGTTAATACAAAGTAACATAAATAGTAAATAATGCTACTTTTATTTTTATTACTATTTGAAAGGTGGGTGCAAGGATTCAACAATGGCACATTTAGATTTGTCGACAAGAAAACAACATGCTACACCTGTGGGAACTTTATTGTTTTCCTCAATATGGAAACTAAGTCGAGGAAGACTCTGCAGAGTCCTGGTTCTGGTATTGGGGCCTTTACAGCCAGTGGGCATCGCAGATGTCTTGCCTTCTCTGACCTCAAACTCAATCCTTCCATCTTTGTCTACAACTATCCAGAGCTTGAGCAGGTGTGTAAACTGAAAGGTGAGTCCATTTTTTTTATATATTTCCTTGAACAACAAGCCACTATAGCTGATTGTAGTTGCTCTTAAACTGTTTTAGTGCACACACACTTTTATAAATGTATAAAAGTTACACTTTTAGTGCTTTTTCATGTTTTTAGGCACAACTAAACTGGGCTATACAGCTTTGGCACTGTGTGACACTGGCCCTTATTTAGTCTGTGCTTCCTCCATGCCTGATCACACCATCTCATTGTGGTAAAATGCATGTTTTATATTAGTCTGACGTTTGCTACAGCAATTATTTATATTTTGCCTTTTTTAATATAATATTTTAATATCCACTATTTAGGAACTGGGAGAGCAGCGTTCTCCTTTGTAGCCATCCACTCTTGGGAGAGGACGTCACAGCATTGGTTTTTAACCCCATGAACTGGTGTCAAATTGGTGCTGTAAATTTGAGGTCCCTTACTATCTGGAATGTTGAAAGATGTGACAACTATCATTTGATGAAGCCTAGGTAGAGTGTCTCTCCAGCAGATGTCACTGTTATTTACACATGGATTTCATATGCCAACATTAGGATTAATGCACGGACAGTGTTTATTTTACCCATTATCCTTTCTTTATGTTTTCTTGGCAGTGCTGTCGATCTCCCCGCCGCCGATGGTTCAGTTATTGAGTGTGAAGCAAACCTGTCTTGTATGCTCAGTAGGAAGTTGACACACTTAGGTCCTCAGATGCCCATTTCAGCAATCGCTGGACTGAGTGGAGACAGAGCTGACGATTTTGTGGTATGGGTTGTTTCTCCAGTAGAGTGTTTTCTTATATATCAGTAGTTCTCCTGAAGTAACACTTTATTTTTTTGTCAGAGTCACAGCATAATAGAATTTGTCTGTCCCAACAGCCTTTGAAACAAATAAAACCAAAACTGTGTCCAAGTGCCATCTGCTGGTCAACTTCTTCTGACCTATATGTTGGTTCCAAGGAAGGTTTCCTGCTTTGTGTGGATCCTGACACTTTGCTTGTCTCTGTCCTATATAAACCTCAAACTGAATTAAATCCCACAGGTAAACTCATACTTGATACATATCAAATCAGAACATTTGAGCATTTCACATGTCAATTTTTTAACTAGTATGAATTTTAGACTTAATGTAGTTCCTTGTCTTCTTGAGAGCTTCATTTAATTGCACTTGTTGTAATTTTACATCACAGATGACAGTAAAACATCCCTGCAGGAAGGCAGCTTCCAGAGCTTAGTAATACAAGACTGTAATGTTTTTGCTGCAGGAATGGTAAGAAATTGTATTTGTCATGACACTAATATGAGCCCTGAAACTACACATTAATCTGTTTTCAAGTGAGACATGATTTTAGCCCAATTCAAGAGCATTTCCAAACCTATTACAGGAAGGCATTTTACGAAACATACAAATTAAAGGAAACAAATTGGAGGTAGTGCAGACTTGGGCTTTGGAGGAGGCAGCCTCGTCTATATGCTTTCCCCCCGATGGTGAGACACTGCTGATAGTTTCTAATACAGTAAGTGTTTATATTTTATGATGTTAGTGTATTTTTTATGATTCGTGTTAAAATAATATTAATGTAAAAACAGTTCTGTTATAATATACATTATATGAATATAATATCTAATTAATATTTTATTTAAAAATGTCACGATAAAAACTCACAAAATTCTTATAATGCAACACAATACAATAAAGACAATGCTGAGAAACATAGTTAATACATTTCGGTTTTGCTTCATAGGGCTGTGTTTACAGATTGAAACCACTACTGAATGATAACATTGTCAAAGTTCTGGATGTACTCTGTGGAGATTTTGTGGCTGTTGCTCCATTATACACTGACAGAAGCATTTGTTTGGTAAAAGAACATGTGGTGTCAATTGGTTAATTAATCA